GACAAATAAAGCTTGCATAGATATCAGAGGATGAAGCTAGCCACTAGTTAACCATAAAGGCCAAGCACTCATGCCTTTAATCCCAGCACTTGAGAGGCAGAGAGAGGAAGTGATAAGGTAGGACTGAGACAGGATCTTGGCCCTTCTTTCAGTCTGAGGATCTGAAGAGATAAGAAGTCACTTGTGCTGGCTGCTCCTCTGCTTCTCTGATCTTTTAAGTCATTACCCCAGTATTTGACTCCTGGTTTTTATTGATAAGACTAAGTTCACGCTTCAAATGTGGTATATACTCACTTATAAATGGCTATTACAGACCCAGAGAGGCTCAGTAACAAAGAGACAACTGGATCTCCTTGCAAAGGCAACCTAGAATCGTTTTTGTAGGTAGACTTGGGGCCAGTGGAAATGGGAATGGGATAGATTAGATAGGGATGGTGGAGGGAGAGAGTACTGAGAGAGGACTGGAATTGGGGGACATTTCAGAAATAAGGTAGAAAGCTAGTGCAATGGAAACTCCCAGAAATCCACAAAGGTGTACCTAGTGAACACTCCTAGCAATGGGGGGTAAGGAACCTAAACTGACCATCTTCTGTAACCAAGTAAATCTTCCAGTGGAGGGACTGGGACACCAACCCAGCTACAAACCCATCAACATTTAATTAGTCCTTCCTGCAAAATGTGCTGGGGTAAACGTGGCACATAAATTGTGGGACTGGCCACCTGATGACTGATGTACATATATAAACACACTGCATATTGGGCGTTAACAGCTTAGATACAAGATTGGAAAACATTGGTAGCAAACTTCTGCCCTCCAGGGTTTTCCCACTGTGCTGTAAGCCTATATTTAAGACCTCCTCCCTCCTTCAATAAATGGCATTTGGCATTTAAATAAATAAATAAATAAATAAATAAACAAACAAATAAATGAATGAATGAATGAATAAATAAATAAATAAATAAATACAACAAAAAAACCATATCCCCAGTCTTTTATTTGTAGAGTGGAATAAATCTTTGAAGTTGAGGTGATTCTTCAATCCTTATCACAATACCCCACTGCAATAATCTTGAATAAAGTCTCCAATTTCAAGGAGGGTCAAGAAAAAGTGAAATGTTTATATATACAAGTACATGTATCTGTAATGTTCCCATAGACTCATATATTTGCATGCTTCTTCCTTAGCTGGTGCTGCTCTTTGGGAAGGTTAAAGAACCTTGAGGGGGTGGATCCTTGCTGGAAGATGTATATCACCTTCCTGCTCCTGCCTCTAAGCCTTTCCCGCTCACTGTCATATTTTCACATCATGATGCTCTATGTCCTTTTCTGTAACTGGAAGACAAAATTAATCATTTCTCCCCTACATTGGATTTGATAGGTTATTCTGGAACACAACAATGGAAAGGCACAGCAACATAAAAGAAACACACAAACTCATGATGGGGAGAAGAAGAGAGAACAGGAGTAAGGGGCAGAAGAGAGAGGGAGATGGGGGAGAGAGAGAGAGAGAGAGAGAGAGAGAGAGAGAGAGAGAGAGAGCTTATAATTACATCTAGGCATTTTCAACTAAGAGATCAAGGAAACAGCCATGGGCATATTTGGTCATGTGTGTAAATTCTATGTAAATACTTCAGTGTGTAAATACCTATGTCTGTACACACAAACACACACACACACATACACACACACACACACACACACACACACACACATGTATTGCTTTGATGTTTTTGTTGTGTTTTGATCATATTCACCCCCTCCCAACTTTTCCTAGATTGTCCTTCACTACTGTAGGGATTAACCTACTCTCCTCCCTCTCCACAACTACATTCTAACTCCACCATGACAGCTGGTTCTCACCATCTGCCCTCCAACTATCTAATTTTTCCATTTCATTTATATACCATGTAGTAGCAGAAGTGTTAACACTTGCCTTTTGTGAAAGGCTGTGCTAAAGTGAGACTAATGTTTAATCAACTGGAATCTGCAGCATGAGTGAAGCTTTGACTGCCTTTAGTCTAGCATTTCATTCACTTTCCAAATGGCTCAAGTCAGCACCTAATCCCTACCATGAGGTTACTTCACAGATGTGTACTCAGTCAGATCTCTTGAATCTCCGTAGTGGATAGCTGTTGTACCTATGACCTTTAAGCACTGCCCCTATAGATGTAGCCAGTCCTATATACCTATGAGCTTGAAGTAGCTGCCCTTGGGACATGGCTCAGGGCTACCCTTAAGACCTGAGACACAAGTATGCTGCTCTCTTTTCTCCCTCGTGGACTTAGATGTTGAGACAGACCAGGCAGAAGAACAGCGTGGGACTGTAACTCGGCCTTCCAGGACCCTACGATAAATCTCTCATGCTGTAGTGAGTTTTTCTACCTAATAAATTCTTTTACCCTTTAAGCAGATTCTGTGGATTTATCAATACATCTGGCACTCCAAAGTGGGGTAAGAATTTCCACCTAAAACCTGAGAAAGCCTTAAAAAGGGGTTCTAAAATGGAGCCAAGAACAACTTTCTAGTTTGTGTCTTTCGTGTGGGCCATGGCAGAGAGACACTGAGGCATTTGAGCTTGAGCACAGCATGGTGGATTCCCACCACCATACACAGAGGCATCTCCATGCCGTGCAGCACACTGCATAGTAGATTTAGCTTTTGTTAGTACAGACCAAAAAAAAAAAAAAAAAAAAAAGGTTTCTGAGATACACGAAGTTACATTCTTCTAAAAGAAAAAAACAAAAACGAACAAACAAGACAAAAAATCTCTTAACATCAATTATTATTGTAAAATTCTACAGGTTTTGACAATGAAGATTATGAAGTACCTGTCAGTAATGTCACGTAAAATAATTTCATTACCCTACATCTGATGACTTATCTATTAAATTCTTTCTCCGTCCCCAAATTTCCTAGAAATCACAACTTTTTACTGGCTCCATTTTTTTTTTTAGTTTTTTTAGTTTTTCTTTGGTCTTTATTTTTGTGTTTGAGATTACATCCTGATGTGTAGCTCGTATTAGACTAACACTCACTAGATCAGCCAGATTGGCCACAAACTTACTTTCTTCTTTCATTACTGTTCCAAGTGCTGGGGATTATGGGCATGCCCATAACCTGTCTCCAGGCATATGCCTTTCTGAGACTTCCATGGAATCAGAATCATGTAGCATGCATTTTTCCAAGAATGCTTAGCTTTGCCTAGCAAGATGCACTCCCATCCTCTTACCTTCCCACATTTATGCTCTTTTTTTTTTAACAACTTTTGTTAATATGCCAGTGGTCTGATATATGAAAACTAACATAACCATTCACAGCTGAAAGACTGTGCAAGGTTTTTGTGAAAGGAAGTGTTAAAATAAGTTGGATAAATACCATAGGCTGTAACTGTTGCATTGAATAAAAATGTGCCTGGTCTTATTAGAAACTGTCAAGCTGTCTTCCAAATGGTTGTGGCATTTGGGTTTCCATTTACAAGGACTGAGAAGGGTTGCATCTTTGTCTCCTCGTCAGTATTGCCATTGCTGTCTAAGGTTGGCCATCTATGTGTGTTGGTACCTTATTGCTGTCTGAGGTTGGCCATCTATGTGTGTTGGTACCTTATTGCTGTCTGAGGTTGGCCATCTATGTGTGTTGGTACCCTATTGCTGTCTGAGGTTGGCCATCTATTTGTTGATACCTTATTACTGTCTTAACTTTCAACCCGTGAAAAGGCAGTTGATATTGTCCCTTCTGTCTCTTCGCCATCTCTCTCCATGAGTCTTCTGTGAAGACCTTTGCTCCAGTTTTCACAACTGCTTTCCTATTGTGGAAGCTTAAGAGTGGTTTTAGGCTTGGGACAATAGTTGGGTCAGTAAAGTCCTTACTGTGCAAGCCCAAGGACTTGAGTTCAGCTCCTCAGAACACCCATGAATTCCAGAGGATTCCAGCTGCCAGACCCCATCAGAGACAGCTCTTTGTGGGAAACGATTAAGATGGAAACTCACAACTGGTCACAGTGCAGAGAATAAATGAATGTGGAGTATTTAGTCACAAATGGGACACTATATCACATATATACCCTCTAAGGCTTACAGCCCATCTCAGGAGATGGGTGGGAAGATTATAAGAGGCAGTCAGCTTTCCAGCATACAGGAAAGAGATACTCATGATCCACCACCCTCAGCTATTGACCATTGATGGTTGCTGAGGGAGGAGTCAGTTTTCTTTAAGAGTGTGGCTCTTTGTAGGTCAGCCATGTTCTAGTGTTAGGCCCTACATCCACGAGTACATGGGCTGCACAAATTGAACTCCCTGGTTTATGGGGTGTGAGAACAAGAGAGAGGAAGTACATGAAGCTGTGAAGGGTAAAGATAGAGACGAGTTAGGTGGAGAGGTGGAAGTTATATGTGAGCTAAATATATTGTACACAGGTATAAAGTTCTCAAATATTTAATAATTCAAAATTAAAATATATAAATGTAAAACCAACCAAGAGCAGTGAAAAACTGGGTATAGTGGTGTTTGCTTGCAATCCTAGCATTGAGGAGGCAGACACAAGCAGATCCCGGGTTTTACTGACCACCAAATCTAGGGTAATTAGCAAGTTCCAGGCTAAGGATTAAGCCCAACTCACAAAACATGGATGGTGCCTCAGGAAAATGCTCAAGGTTTATGTCTAGTATGTGTGCACATGCATACGTACACATACACACACACACACACACACACACACACACACACACACACACACACACCCTTCTGCATGCATATACACACATAAGTGAGCTGCTTTTGTATTTTGGACACATAAAATTTATAAATTTGCATTTTGCATATATTTCCTCCAAAAACCTTTGCTTCTGTTTTACCTCTCTCATTGTATATTTTGCAGAGCACAAATTTGCTGGTAAAGTTTGACTTGTTTTGCCTTTCATGCATAGTGTTCTTCTTGTTGTTTCTGGAACTTCCCCAACAACCAAAGGCTTATTGGAAGGTTCACTTCTATGTAATCTTTGTAAAATTTTGTAATTTTAACACTTTTCATTTTTATATTAAGGTATATCATTGATTTTGAGTTAATTTTTAATGAGATAAAAGGTCTGTGTCTAGTTTGCTATTCATACACTCAATTGTTTTAATAACCTTTGTTAGTGGGTCATTTCTCCATTGCCTTGCTTCACTAAGCTGTCAAAGGTCAGCTGATTCTATTGTGTGGGTCTATTTTTGGACTTCTTACTTCATTCTATTGATCAACTTGTCTCTTCTCTTTCCAATGCCATGCTGCCTTGGTTATTAATTTTACAAAATGTCTTCAAGTCAGATAACGCCTGTTTTGTGTTTCTGTTCTTTGTCAATGCTGTATTGGCTCCTTTGGGTCTTCTGAGTTTCCATATAAACTTTCAATAAGTTTGCCAATATCTACAAATCAGCATGTTGGGATCTTGACCGAGTTTAAATTGAACCTATAGACCAAGCTGGCAAGAAATGGCAATAGTATTAAACTTCCATCCCATGAACAGGGAACATACCTCCACTTAAATCTGCTTAGATACTTTTAAAATCTGAGTCTGGTGATTTTATGGATATACATCCTCCTTGTATTTTGTTAGATTTATATATAATTACTTTATTCCTACTGTTAGTGACATTGTGCTTTCAGTTCTAAATTCCAATTGCTCGTTGATGGTGTGTAGATAAGCAACAGCCTTGTGTTGTAACCTGGCATGGTGGTGTGAAGAGAAAAATGCCCAAATGAGCAGATGTTTTTCGATGCTTAGTTCCCAGTTGGTGATGCAGTTTGGGAGGGTGATGGACACTTTAGTAGGCTGAGCCTTGAGGAGAAAATATGTCTCTAGGGCAGGATTAGAGCTTTTATAGATTGCCTCTATGTCCAGTGCTCTTTCTCTCTCTCTCTGCTTTCTGTGTGTGGAGAATATGTCATTTCTCTACTTCCTGACTACAGGCTGAGTGGGCCCTTGCTCCGGCTGTCATGCCTTTTGGACACTATGAGCTGTCTTCCTCTGAAACTGCTGTAAGTTCAAATAAGCCATTTTTCCCCTAAATTGCTTTTGGTCATGGTGTTTTTTATCATAGCAACAGGGAAGTATGATTTTAGTTGTGGATTACTTGGAGAAGTTTGTTCAACTTGAAGAAGCCCCTTTGGCTCTTAGTGTGTTAAGAAATTTTATCACAAAGAAGAACCAGACTTTTGTCAAACTTTTTCTTGTGCCATTTGATATGATTGCATGCTATTTTCATTTAGCTTTATGATATGGGCTACAACAATTAGATTTTAAACCGATTTTGCTACACAGAATATACTCCACTTGTTCAGCAGGCAAAGTTCTTATTTTTCTGTTGGGTTATAGCTGCTACCACTTCCCTTTGGAATTTAGTAACTACACCATTGAGAAATATTGGTGTGTATTATCCTTTCTTATAAAGTCTTTGCATTTGGCATTAAGTAATGTCACTCTTACAGAACTAGGTAGGAAATTTCAAATATTTCATTTTGAAAGATATTGTAGATAATAGAAAACGTGTCTTCTCTTAATGATTGGTAGAATTCACCATCTTTCATTTCTTAATATTTTGTGTTGATGATTCCATTTTAAATAATAGGACCTCAGAGTGTGAGTTTTGGGTTAATGTGGCTTAGGTGTTTTACTGAACTGGTCTTTTCCTACAGCTCTATGTACCAAGAACTTGAAAATTTCCTAATCCTGGCATTTTTTAAAAATATATTAATTTTTATTTATGTGCATGAGTGTTAAACTTGCATGGAGGCCAGAAGAGGGTGCCAGATTTCCAGGGAATAGGAGTTACAGATGTTTAGGAGCCACAGTGTGGGTTCTGGGAACTGAATCCAGGTTGTCTTCAAGAGCAGTAAGAGATTCAAGAGCATCTCTTAACTACTGAGATGCCTTTCTAGCCCTCTAATCCCACAGTTTAGTTTCTATGTCTTTGAGCTTCCCAAAGAACTACCTGAATGTTATCAGTGCTTCAACTAGAATCTGTTATTTTGCTAGAGCATTTTTGGCATGGCTGTAAGGAGCCCTGTAGATAAATAGTCTATAATTAGGGAGTGAATTGCTTTACTTAAGTGGGCTTGAGATCCTGTGTTATAATATGCTTAATCCCTTTTCAGACTATGTATCCTTCTGCTCTCTTTCTTAGGTTTTACAGGTATCTGGATTTGTCATGGCTGGAAGGTGAAGAAATGTCTCACAGGCTCCTATCTTCCCCAGGGGAAGATGCTGTGTTGAGAGGTTGTGGGGCCTTAATCAGGTAGGGCCTAGCCAGAGGAAGTCTTATTTGGGTGTAAGCCCTAAGGGTTGAGGAGTCATCCCACTCCATTACTGGACTTCCTACTTCTTGTTGACGCTTTATGTAAAGTCACATCGCAGACTGTCATGGACCCAGGTGCACCACCAGCCACCCCAGTCACCATGCCTTTCCTGCTGTCATCCAAACTACAGCTTCCTCCTTCCCTGGAGTTCCTTCTGGTAGGTACTTTGCCACAGTAACAGAAAAACAACTAATTCCAAAATCTCAAACAGAGATCGTCTTCTGTCTATGTCAGAGAAACCTCTGGTAAAGTCTTCTGGTCTTTCCTGGACAGGCGCCTTTATTGTGGACAATGTACAGAGACCATTTCAAATTCTTCTCCTTTTGATATACACAGGAGATGGATTTTTCTTGGCTGCTTACTATGAGTCTCTTCCATACTAAGGATGTAGCTCATAAGGACATGTATGTATAGCATGCTGTGGGTTTGAGTCCCAGCACTGCAAAACAAACAAATACATAAATAATATGATATAATAATATAATATAATATAATATAATATAATATAATATAATATAATATAATATAATATAATATAATATAATATAATATAATATAATATAATATAATATAAATATAACACAACACAACACAACACAACATAACATAACATAACATAACATAACATAACATAACATAATATAATATATAAATCCTTTGTGTAAAACTTTGAAAGTGTGAATTCAACCAAGACTGAGTCTGCTGGGAACTTCTCATATGCACACTCACCCAACACTCAGCACTCAGATAATTGTTAAAATTGTCATTTCAGTGTTCCCATCAGCTTCTGGCACCTGTGAATACCCAAGCTGCACAGATTTTGACGAGTAGTTAATTTTCTCCTTACCATGACCAAACACACCGCAAGAGTCCATTTCAAGGAACGGGGGCGGCAGCGGGGGAAGGTAGATTTTCTAGTGGCTGGCTGCTGGGGTGGGAAGTCTTTCCACAGCAGATCGGGAAGCATACAAAAGGGGGCTTTCCATGCTCAGCTGGAAAAGCTCCTCCCCTCCTTTCCTCCGTGCTGGTCCAGGCCCATGGGATGGTAAAGTCTATAACTGGGATGAGTCTCATTCCCTTTTGGAAAAGCCCTCACAAACATTCAAAGGTGTGCCTAGATAGTTTCCCACATATTTCTTAACCCAACTAAGATGGCATTGGTGATTATCCAGTCCAGCTGTGTTTCTTTTTGACCCCCCTCTTCCTGTTGTGGGGGCAGGGGATGTGCCCTCTCCAATTGCCATTCCATGGACTCATGAAAAGTATTAAATCTTTGTTCCATGTTGTGCATGTTGTGCATGTTGCTTTAAGGTGGGGGGAAGTGACTTCACAACTTTTCATGCACCAGGACTGATTTCAGGAATCTAATATAGTTATTAAACTAGCTTTCTCCATCTCAGCCTTGCCTTCTGGTTACCCTCCTTTTGATACAGATGCCCTGAGCAATAGGAGAAAGGGACCTGAGGTCTCATAGGTCTCTGGGCTGGAAGGACCCCTTCTACTGGCCTCCTACAGGGCATCTTCCAGGGTCTTCCCCAAAGGCGGTATTCGCAGATCAGGCCAGTGTTTGCTCAGCCAGTCTGTTGCTGAGTTCTGTAGCTACTGATAGAAGGCCTTTTATCTCCTCCCTCTTGTAGTTTTTCTGTTTATGCAGCACTTTTTGACCTTGCTGAAGAGGCACAGTCTTACAGTTTCAAGGCAGCCCATCTAGTCTGCCTCTGATCATCCTTTATGTAACTCCTCACCTGGGCAGGGGGCCATTCTGAGAGTCAGATTCCCAACTGCTCAATGGGGAAGCCATCCCTGCTTTTAATTCTGGTTTCAGTGTCTTTTTCCCTTTGGAACTTTACCTCAAAGGAATGAATCGTGACAACCTTGTGTCCTCATGAACCTTGAAACTTCATTTCTTTATCTTAGGAACTACTTTGGACCAAGCATGATGAACCGTCCTTGCTGGCCCCTTTCTGCCACGGTTTTACCCAGCTCTGTACTCTCTTCTCTCCAGTGATTTCGTTCACCTTTTTATGGAGATTATGATGACAAAGAGTTGGCAGAGATATGACTGAATGTTGGGAATAAGATGTCTAAGTTTAATATAATTAAAGTTCTCAAAATATAAAGTATATGTATTAGTATTTATCGCATGGTTCTTTCAAGATTTGGAAATTATTTGTAAATCACTTGAAAAATTTTATTCATTATGTAAAAACAAATTTTATTATTATTTCACTATCACTGTCATAGTGGAAGCACTAATACTTCAATTTGGGGGTATAATATTTAAATTCATAATATTGCACTTTTTTTTTTATTCTGAGATTCTCTTGCCTCAGCCTCCTGAGTAGTTGGAAGTATAGGTACTTTAGCTGTACTAGCAGGTACAGCTAAAACAAAAATGGTAAATGTCTATCAAAGAAGCTAGATTTTCAACTGATGAAAACTCTTATGTTGGCTAATTTAATGAAAGAAAGGGAGAGTGGTAAATATCAGAGAGTTATTTCAATGTTATTTTAATCTATGCCTAACTATCAGGTTCTTTGTTTTCCCTCAAAACAACTCCCTCTGGCCAAGAAGCATTCCTTAAGACACCCCAAAATACTACTGGGGGGAGAAGCTGAAGATCCCAACAGGAAACTCATAACCACCCATTTGTTTATGACTCTAAAGTAATAATAGAGCAATGTGCTGTCTAGAGAATGCTAGGAACCTCCCACCTGACTTATCTGCAATGTAGAACTAGACTCGTTTAAAACAGTGAATGCACTGAACATGTCACCATATGTTCTGTGGAAATCTCCGCAGAGTTGAGCTGGACTTTTTTACAGGCAAGGCCTTGGGACTGGCTGAAGAAATGACTATTAATTAAGAGTGGTTGTTATTATAATGATCTTATAGATTTGCTGGGAAGATGATCTCTAAGCAGAAAATTTATAATAATGTGATAGAGACTAAGACACAAGTAGCTACAGGAGCACAGAGACTCATCATGCAGGTCAGAGACACAGCTAAAAGTTGTCTTTTAGGTAGCAGACAAGATGGCTCAGTAGATAAATGCACTTGCCACCAAGCTCACTGACTTGATTTTGATCCCCAGGACCCACATAGGAGAGAGAACCAGCTGCCCCAAGTTGTCCTATGATGTTACATGTTCCACACCCCACAAAATGAGTAAGTAAATGTAAAAACAAGACAAAATAAAAGTCTTGGAAAAAGCCTTTGTAGACTCTGTGTTTGTCTGTCTTTCTTTCTTTCTTTCTTTCTTTCTTTCTTTCTTTCTTTCTTTCTTTCTTTCTTTCTTTCTTTCTTTCTTTCTTTCTTTCTTTCTTT